TCAGCTGCCCATTGAGGAGGCGCGTGAGTGCGGCCTTGCGCCGGGGCACGACCACCTGCTGGTAGTAGGCGTTCGGGTCCCCGAGGTCGAACGTTCGGGGCAAATCGTAGCCGTTCTCCGGCATGAGTAGGATATACTTGATGTCCTCCCTCCTCGGGTTCTCGGTGTCGAGCTCTCGACAGAGTCGGCGCCTCAGCTCCCGCAATTCCTCGACCCAGGTGCTTCGGAGCTCTTCCCACAGATCCTTGACCCAATGGTCTGGGAACTCCGATGGGTCCCTCTCGAAGGCCGCCTCCAAGAACCCCAACGACCGCCGACGCTCCGCCCCGTGTGCGACCCCTATGATGGACTCGAACATCTGGATCTCGCACCGGGCCCTCTTGAACCAGGTCGCCATGTGGGTGGCGGGCCGTTGGCGAGGCTCCAGCTTGTCGTCCACAGGGAGCCGATAGCCATCGAAGTCCTCGTCACGCGCGGGGACGCAGTCGTCCACCGCCAGGTCGTGAGGGCCCGTCCCGAAGGCGAGCGCCGCGTAGCCGTGTGCCACACGGTTGGTAACCAGGCAGGGAAACCCGATCGTCTTGAGCGTGCTCTTGGAGTGCGCACACATGCGCTTGAGTGAGTCGAACAAGTCCTTCCCCGTGATACCCTCGCAGGCCTCAACCACGAAGGTGTTGCATCCCCGGGCTATGTAAAGATCGAGTTCCTCGTCCCGACCGATCCCTGCCCTGGTGCCCCGGGCCTTCTTGTCGCCCTCGGTGGCCCGCGCCTGCCGCTCGGCGGCGAGGACGTGGCGTTCAGTGAGGCGGTTCTGGCGATCCAGGCGCTCGATAATCTGGGCTTCGGCCTCGACTGTAAGCCCGCCCAGGGCGCCCGCCGCCCCGGCGTCGTCTGGACCCCCAGCTCGCTCCCCACCCAGGCCGCCCCCGTGGGGCGTCTGGCCAGTGAGGTGGCCAAGGACCGAGGCCCCGTCGAGGAGCGGATTGGCCCCACGGGCGGCCCCCCCGCGTCCATCGCGTGCCAGCAGGTCCCGATCACCCAGCAAGCCCCGTCGTGGGCCCGTGGGTTGGATGGGGGGCATGGCACCGAAGAGCTCGCGTCGGGGTCCCTGCTTCGGGCTGGGATCCCGTCCCCGCGCCGAGCGACTCCGCGACCCCTCACGTGAGAGGCTCCCCTGCAGGGGAACCTTGTCGGCGGCCGCAGCACGCTCCCGCGCGCGCGCTTCCAGCTGCGCATCCTCCAAATCCGCGAGGGCGCGCTCTAGGTCGGACCCCAGTGGGCCCGCCGCTGCCACCTGTGCGACCCTCCGCCGCAGCTGCCGCTCCGCCTGATCAAGCGGAACCCCGAGCAGGTCCGCGGCCATACCTAATGCACTGAGAGCCGCCGCTTGGCCCCCCCGTCCTTTGAGATCCTCGGCTCGCAAGGAGTCCATGAACACTTCGAGCGGGTCGGGCTCCTCGGCGTCCTCGCTCACGCCGGCGGCGGCCGCCGCTAAGCGCGGCAGTGCCGCCACGGGGGCGGGACGGGGCAAGCCCTCCATCCCGGGCGCAGGCGGCGCCCCCTGCGCGCCACCCCGCCGATGGTGGCCGAGTGTACGCACAGGGTCGTGCTGCAGCTGCTGGCGCTCCGTGTTCGTCAGGTAGCGCCGCCTCCAGCCGCTCGCGCTTTCCACGTCCACACCGTCCCACTGCTCCTGGCGTAACATCGCCAGCAGATCCTGCGGGATGTGGTGGGCGATGACACGCAACCCCACTTCCCGAGCCCCTTGGGGGACCTCGTACAGCAGCCGATTGATCCAATCTATCGGGTAGCGCCCGTCCTCCAGCGGGGGGGGGTGCCGTGCGACCTCGCTGGCTGGGACCTCCACCCTGACGCCCTCGAGGCTAGTCCCGATGATAAGTCTGGCGTCCCCGCCAGTGCCCCGTACGTCGAGCCCCTCGCATTCCCCCAATAGAATAAACCAAGGACTCGCCGGGGGCGCGCCGTACGCCTCCTCGGCTCCCCGAGGGTCGCCCGGGAGTATCGGGCAGACCTTCACGAGTAGGGGCTCCTGAAGCCACCCGTGGTGGGCGATCCGATCGCCCGGGGCCCCGCGGTCGGCAGACCGTGAGCGTCCGCTGGCCCTAGCTTCCGCGGAGCGTGTGCGACGCGGCTGCGGCCCCGAGGTTAGGGCCTGCGCCCCCGTGGGCTCCACATCGACAGATGGGGCCACGGCGGGCGGTGGCGGTGCAGCGGGGGGAGGTAGAGGCGGGGGGTAGACCGGCTCGGGCGCAATGCCAACCCCATCGGCAGCGTGCGCGGTCCAATCGCGCACCCTGGCGGGGCTTGGAGCCCGCGCCCGCATGCGGCGGCGCAGGCCCCCGAGGATCCCAGGTTGGACCGTCGCCTCGACGCGCACGGTGTGACCCTCGTCCCGTCGGAGATGTTCCCCGCACATCGGGGCCCCCCCGCAGCTACCCTTCGCCATGCGGAGACAAGTGGGGAGGCTGCACTTGCGGCCGATCAGGGTAGACCGATACTTCTGCGCATGGTGGGCGCAGAGGTGCACCTGTGCATTGAGACAATGCCCAGGCCGAGGAACGTCCGACACCTCCGCGTCCTCCTGTAGCAGGACAGTGGCCTCCTGCATCCCTCGGTCGCCGCACCCCTCCGGCTGGAGGGGGCGTGCGCCACCCGCGAGCTGCACCCCAACTTGTGCGGCTTGGCAGGGGCGCTCCTCCGCCTCCACCTCGCTCTCCGAGTCGATGTCCAGGCGGCGATAGCCCGTGGCGTCGGTGATGTAGCGGGGCTCCGGCCGGCCCCGGCACAGCCATCCGAGTACCGACCAGGGTGAGCAAAGCAGCCACTTGACGACCCCGAATACCTTCCGGAGTCCCACGCCGACTGCCGGCAGGCCGTGGCCCTTCCGTGCTCAGCCAAGTCCACGATCTGTGTGTGGTCAATGGCCGCGTACTGGTCGACGTGCATGGGATGCGCCACTGGACAGGAGGCGCACTCGACAGCACGACATAGATGCACATTCCCTGTCTCCTCGAGGTTCAGCCGCCACTTGCGACTGGTGCACCCCAGGACCTGCCCGATCTTGATGTTGAGCCCGTGGCGGTCCAATCGGTACCGGTCCGCGAAGTTGCAGCTGATGCGGGCCACCTGCCCGTGCTTACGCAGCAGCACGTGGCCGCCCGATTGGTCCCTCGGCCGCAGCAGCACCCGCCCGATTGGTGGCCGCGGACCCCCTTTGTGTAGAACTCTGTCTCCACCACGCCGCCCAAGCCCGGCCCGCGCCAGCGCACCAGCAAGGGGGTCGGAGGGGGTGGGGGAAGATGGGCGCCGGGCCCATCCCCTCCGCGTCGCTGGCAGCACCGGGTAATCTGGTACCACGCCCAGCGGAGTCCCCCGGCAGCCCACAGCATAGGCTGGGCTGCGGTGTTGACGATGAAGGCCAGGGCACCCAACACGAACGTGAAGATGCCTAGGGCAAAGCATAAGACCGCGGTCTCCCACCAATACCCAAGCATCTTAACGCCCAGGCGGTCGACGGCGGATCCAAACCATCCGCCACTCGTGCGGATCGTGCCCGGGTGGTCGGGGGAGCTTACCCACGCTCCATAGCCCACGACCTCGAAGACCCAGGCTGCGTCCCCCTGCCTCCGGGGGCGGTGTAGGTACGGCGGCGGTGGGGGTTCGCTCGGCGGCGGCGGTGGGGGTTCGCTCCGGCCAGCCCACCAATGGGGCAGGTGCGGGACCCAACCACTCCACCCCCAATACCCGTCCGGTCCACGCGGCAGGTCAGGCTCACCCTCGCCCGTCCGGTTTCCCGGGGCGGACGGCTGCCCAGGCGCGCCCGTGGGCTCGTTGTTACCTCCGTATGCCGGCGTAGCTGGGCTGCCTGTGGGCTCGCCCTCGCCTACGCGCCCGATGCCCGCGGTCGGGGTCGTTGTAGTCGACCCTGACCGCGGCGGCGGTGGGACGCCCGGCGTCCCCGGGAGCTTGGCCTGCGGCCCTCGCCCCTTTCCCCCTGCAGGCGCGGGCTTGGCGGGCGGTCCTCGCCCCTTGCCTCGCCCCCCACCGCCTGCCGGCGGCGCTGTCGGCCCGGGCAGGGCTGGCGGCGTCGGCGCTGGGACCTCATGTCCCCCGCGCCCGAATGGCAGCCAGCCAAGTGCCCCTTGGACCGTAAGAGCGCCGCCCGTAACCAAGATCATCAGGTGCGCCCCCAGGAAGCCCACAGCCATGGCACCACAGGCGCGCTACCTAGTCCGCGGACTAGCACGGCTGTGGTTATGGCCGCCCCGCGGCCCCCTGGAACACCCGCGCGTTGGCCAGAGCCGAACGCTACGGACCCAAAATGGTTACCTGAGCCCACACCCCCTCCCACTTAACCTGCAGTCTACAACCAATCAGACTATACAATCTTCGACTCTGATCGGGGAGACGTAAGACCCGGGTACGGGGCACTCGGAAATCCCCGACGAGGTCGTCAAAAAAATGACGAGGCCGAGCCTGCATTTTGACGAGGCCTCCCGCTGCAGACATCCCACAAAACTCCTCCTCGTCAAAATCCGAATCGCGGTCGTCAAAAAACGATGGCGAACCCGAGTCCTGGCAAACCCGGGTCTTACGCTCCACTGATCTGAAACGATGGCTGTGGCGCAGACCGGCACGAATCGCCTGGAACGCTCAGGAGAGATCGCCTGCCTCACGCGAGCAGGCGCTCGACGGCTGCTGACTCGGACAGGCTCGCGCCGCGCGCGCGCCAGGAGCGGATCCGGGGGAGGACGCTCGCGGCGGACAGCGCGACGCCGAGTCCGACCACGAAGGTCGCCCGATAAGCGATGTGCGTCTGCGTCTCCGCCCGTGCCTCCGAGCTGAAGACACAGACAGCGGCACCAGCAGGAACTTTCGAAGGTCCGCGCGGACTTCTTGGATCGGCGCCGGGCCCCCTGCCTTGACGAGCGAACGACACACACCCATACCCATAGGGAGGCCGTTGGGAGGAGGACTGGCTATGGGCATGGGTGCGGGTCGTCGGACCCTGGGGAAAACGCTCCCGTTCGAGCGGGGACCCCCCTCCGACAGCACGCACCCCATAGCCCTCTCCGATCCCCCTGATGGGTAGGGGTGCGTGTCGTTGGCTCGTCATCCCTGGCGTGCAGAGCGCGCCCGGGGGCGGTGCCGAGGCGCAGGCCAGGGGGGGGGCACGTCGCCGACCCAGAAGGACCCGCGCGGAGCCCGAAGAGTGTCGGGCTGTGCTGCTGCCCGCTCTTCGATGCGCGCAGCTGCGGGGGGCCTGCGACGGGCCGGAAGAGGTCTGACACCTCGCCGACGAGCGAGGGGTCGAGCGGGTCCAAAAGACGGGTTGGGCTCGACTCCTCGAACGCGCCCGCGGACTGCAGCTTCATCAGGTCGACCCATATGAAGTTTGGGTTCAGGCCCCAGCCCCAGTAGTACAGGCGGTCCCTGGATCCCGTCGTGCACGGGGAGGCTGGTAACACTGAGGGCTGAAATCACTGCGGTGAGAGTGGTCGGAGCAGTGAAAACCACGCTCGCGCGGGCCTGCGCAAACAGAACACAAACGGAGTCCGCGCCCCGACCACCCAAAAAACATGTACTTATTTCAGCCCAATGCGGCCACGCGACAGAAAGACAGCTGGAAGCCCTGAGCATGCAAGACAACCTGGCCTGGCCAACATTTGTGTTTCCTGCCTCCGCGTGCTATTCACGATAACGCCCACTACCAAGGCCGCCCCCCATCCCCGTAACGACACGATACGCGCCGACGCCGACTGGGGATGGCCAGGGATGTCTGACTCCAAGACGGCGCCAGCGCAGACCGTGACGTGAGAGCCGAAACATGACCACGAGAGCGCGGGCAAAAAACATAAGCGCCTCCGCCGAAGGCCCAATGCCGCATGCTGGCACGCCCAAAATTTCTACGGAAAACATGGGTACGATGCCCAACGACCAATGTCGCCCAAAACTGAAAGCGACCGCTGTTGGGCAGGCGACCTTCTGTCTCGAACGGACAACGTCTGCGGCGGTACCGACAGCGAGCCCTGCTCAAAATGGGCAAGAGCTGCGTTCGTCCTCCCCAGTCTCTCTGCACCCGTTTGGGTCAAGTCGTGCCGGCCATGGAGACACTCAAGACGAAACACAAAGAGCACAAAGGCATCCCCTCCAAGTCCAGGACTGCCCTGCACCCTCGTGCGAGCTGGAGAAGATGCACCCTCCTGCCCGCTCCTCCCCTGGCATCGCTCGCCACCGCCAGAGAGCACCCGAACTTCCCCAGCAAAGAGCAGACGCCCACGCACAAAACGTTAGGGGGTCTTTGTCCCCAACTGCTGGAGGCGTAGCTCGTGTCATCACATCACAAAATCGTGCGTTCGTCCTCGCATGCGAGGCCCAGGACCTTCCCAGGAGGAGAAGCGGGAGGAGAAAGATACCTCAACCTCCAATCTCAAGGATCCGTTCATGAGCATCATTTAACCGACCCCTATGCCCGACGGCGTGGCCTGGGCCCCACTGGTCGATTTAACCCCCACTAGATGGGGATATAGGCCGTGTCCTTCGGCTTCTAGGGGTATATCCCCAACTCGGGTCGGTTCAACGATGCTGGGAGCCTGGACAGGGATAGGGATAAGGGTCGGTTCAACGATGCTGAGTCCCGACCCCTTGCCCCGTGGCAGCTCTCGTCCCGGAACGACGTCTGGTGGCCCCAAGGCCGCAGAAAACGGGAGCCCAGAGCCGGGATGAGGAGAGGAAGACGATGGCCCGGCGGGGATCTGGGCACCAAGGGTCAGGTCGGCGCGGGGCTGCCGAGGTTGATGGGGGGGCTGCCAGCGGATGCCAGGGTGGGGCACATCAGACCTTAACCTGGACTGTAAGTGGGCTATACACCCTGCGAAATGCTTTAGAAATCATGGGTTAAGAAACTCAGAGCCTCAGAACTTGAATAAAAACCCAACACTTCTATCAAAATCTTGGGATTCACATTGAAACGTCAAGAATAATCGAGACTCTGGCCGAAAACTCAAGTTTTCTTAAGCAAGGGCTCCTAAGTTCGCGCTTCGCGCTGCGCGAAGCGCGAAGCGCGAATAACTTCGCGCTCTCGCGCCGCCCTCCCAAAGGGAGAAAAGGAGGACAAGGAGGAGGGGGAGAAGGAACGAGGACCGCGAAGCGCGAAGCGCGAATAACTTCGCGCCCTCGGGGGAGCCCTTGCTTAAGCATCGCCTAGGGTGTATACAGGTGCCACACGCGGCCTCCAGGGGGTCATAGGCAAGTCCACCATAACGGGCTCCGCCCACGTGGCCCAAAGACGTACCCCCCCAGCCACACAGGGCCTCCTCCTCCTCCTCCTCCTCCTCCTCCTCCTCCTCCTCCTCCTCCTCCTCATCCTCCGCTTCCTCCCCCCACTCCTAGCCCTTTCGATCAGGGTCGGCGGCACCGGCCGTCAGGCCTCTCCAATACGTACCCCCTCAGCCACACATGGGCAATCGCAGTCCGCTCACGAGCTGGGCTGGGCCATGCGCAGCCCACGATGGCATTCACCGATGACCACCCGACCCCCCTGGCAACCCCCGCGCCGATCCAGGCAGGGAAGGGGCAAAAAGGTCCTGTAATTTGTCACGCTGGTCCACCACGTCGGATACACGCCGAGCTCGGGGTCGTCGTCAGCGGGCGCGCCCAGAGGCGCGGCGGCTGTCTGGATGACGCTGCGGACCTCCGCCACCATCGTGTCGCCGTCGGTCGATCTCGGCAGGTAGTGGAGGAAGTAAGCCGCGCGCACGAACCTGGCCAGCTTTAGGCGTGTCCCTACCCCTCGTTTCGGCAGGGGCGTGAGGGGGGTACTTGGATCGGCGCGGGGGGGCTAAGGGGATAGGGGGATTAGCACTGGATGCCACGGTGGGTCGTATCTGGCCTAACCCAGCTAGCCGGCACTGGCTCTGAGTGCCTGAAGTGGCTTCGAAGGTTCGGACACCTCCGCCAACTGGGCGGAGCCCACTCAGCCTGGATCGCTGCCACCTGCAGCTGCTCATGGCACGTATGATCCACGTATGAGCGGGGCTGTGCCAGATATCACCCACATTGACATCCTCTGGTAGCCCGTTATCCCGATTCGCAACCTCCGCGCCGATCCAAGTTCGGAGGCAACTCGTGGGAGCCGCTCTGCAGGGTCCTGCAAGATCTGGCGCTCTGGCTGACCCCCTTTTGCATTGACCCCGTCTCTTGAGCCACGATTCAAGAACAAGGATAACCACCACAGGATGCACGAGAACATCCAACAAGCACGAAGAACATTATGGTACCCTCCAGGCGACCTCGACCTTATACCTCGGCCCGACCGTAAGAATGAAAGCCCCTTGGGCGCCCAGACTGAAGCTTTTCCGAGCGGGCTGGCCATCCGATGCTGTTCAGGATGGACCGAAGAGGCAAGGATGCAAGGGTACCCTTGGGAAGGTCACCCGTCCTTACAATTGGTTTCGACTGCATCACGAGACTAAGACGCAGCCAAGACGAGAGTAAATCGGGTGAGGATACATCGAGAATCTGTGAAATCTGGCCGCTCTGGAAGATGTCTCGGGCGCCGCGGCCTTCTCAGAGCGTTCTCCCGGACGCTCTGCGAACGTTCTGGAACGATCTGGAACGGACTTACCCTCGTCCTAGCCCCGCCCGAGCTGTCCTCGATCGAAGGGCAGCACTGGGACCCCATGCAAGACGGGGAACCGACCCAGGGCAGAGCAGACCTCGTTGGCAGGCGAGGCGAGAGGCGACGAGCGCCGTGTCCGGCCACGGGGGCCGACCCCCAGGGTGCCGAGCGCGTGGGAACCGCGGCCTTCGCGTGCCGCTCCCCCGTGCAGAGGCAGACAGTCAGACTCGAACGCCTCCCGATCTCCCTCGAAGCTGTGCCAGCAGAGGCCTCCTCGATGGGGTCGGAGCAGATGGGGCTGGAGGATGGCGCCGCGTCGCCGACACATCGGCGATGCATCGGCAATGCATCGGCGATGCACCGGCGATGCACCGTCGATGCATCGTCGTTGTCGGCGATGCATCGGCGACGTCGACGTGAAGCAAATCGGGCTGCACATCGAGCCGCATCGGCGATGCATCGGCGACGCGTCGCAGTCCTCGGACCCCATCTACTCCGACTCCATTTAGGAGGCCCAAAACCGTGCTTCGTAGGCTCCATTTGATAATCAAAGCTGTCGATTACCAAGGGGGGAACTTAAGGCTGCCTAGAACCTCGAGGTGGAGGCGATGTCTCCCGGGGGGACTGTCACACGGGTGAACGGCTGGTAGCGCCGCAGATTGGCGATCTGCCCGGGCATGGGCGGGTCGTTCGCCATGACGGTATCTAGAAAAAGAAAAAACGGCAACAAATTGAAGGGCATCGTTCGGGGGTCGGGGATGGACAGACCCCCCTTTAGTAAAACGCGGTTTAGTGAAAACGACCTGAGGCCCAAACCTGGCGGGCGCAAACCTGGAAAATAACGGCCACGGCGCCATCTCGAGAAACGAAAACGGACAATTCACTAATCGACGTGTCACTGTTGGGGTTCTGTCCTCCCCCGAGGGGGGTCCAGCTCAGGAGGAGAAACGCCGAGATGGAATCGTCGATAATTACATCGCCGATTGGGGGTCCACGCATCCCCCCTGAGCCGATCCCCCGCCAACGCGGCTCCTGAGGAGCACAAACCTTCAGGAGTCCGCCCGAGCCCCCGAAGGTTTGTCTGCAGGGCGGACGCCGCCGCAAGAAACCCTCGCAGGAATCCCGGCTTCAAAATCTCCGCGCGAGCTGCATCTGGGGGGGGGGGGGAACCCAAGGCACCCTCAACGCATCAGTTCCTGCTCGCCCGCGGGACGTCACCGCGCAGCGAGTATGCGGCGCGCGCAGCCAAAAACCCGGGGTGCCCGTGCAAGAAACATGTGGTTTCTTGATGCGTTGATGCGCGTCCCAACCACTGCATGCCGTTGTTCCTTATTCCAACATAGTTCCTCCCCCAGTACACCCTGACCTCTCCGCCCTCGAACTCGAACACGGCAGAGTCCCCGGACGCGTCCTCAACGGCGACGTGGCTCCCGAGGGCAATGCCCGGCGCCCCGGGCGAGACCTCGACCTTGGCGCCCGCCACCCACACCGCCCGCATGGCCGCCACGGCCTCCCCAACGGTGCCGCACGTGTCCAGGAGGTACCGGACGAGCCGGGCGTACGTCGAGGCACAAAGGATCAAGTGAGCAAGCACTCTCGGAGCTCCGCGCGGGTTTCTTGGATCGGCGCCGCAGCCCCTGGGCGGCGCCTCCGGCGCCGACCCTGGCGCTCGGAGCACGCCAGCAGGGGGCGGTCCAGCGCCCCTGCAGGAAATCCGCGCGGAGCTCCGCAAGCGTATGTCTGCGCCGCTTTGTGCGAGAACGGCGCCCATGCACCGCACCATGGCCGGACTCCGCTCAAGCCCCACTCCAAGGCGGTGCTCTGGAGTCCCGAGACGGTGCGGTGACGCACCGTGCGGTGACCTCGAAATCACCCAAGACCTCACCGCACGGTCCGTCACGTCAGCGCACGGCCTCGGGACCCTGGAGGCCCCCGTCGCCCGAGACGTCCCCGGAGAGGGACCCTCGAGCCCCAAACGCGTGCGGTGACCCCGAACCCCCCCCCCTGGCTCACCGCACGGTGTGGTCACCGCACCGTTTGGGGGCCCCCGAGGTGCCGTGCACAGTCTGCGCGGCCCTGGGGGCCGGAGCACTGTGCGCCGCACCTCACTCCCGCGTCGAGGGTCGGCGGCGCCTCGAGCGGCGCCAGCGCGGCACGGCGCAGGCACGCGCCCTCCGCGGACCTTCTGTTCCTCGAGTCCGAGACCCCAGCGCGCCCGCCGGCCGCGCCCGCGGAGGCGTACTGCGTGGCCTCCAGGTAGAGCAGGTGTGCGCCGAGCCCCGCCTCGTTGATGCCGTCGGTGCCCCCGTCGCGGACGTAGTCGACGTCGGAGGAAGGGAGAACTGCACACGCATTCCTACTCCGGGCTGATGGGCGTGGGGGGGGTACCCCCCGCGACGGGGGTCGACGGCCCAAGATGGACCGGCCAGGGGCCCAAGAGGTCTCCAAGAGGGCCCCAAGAGCGCCCAAGAGCGCCCCAAGAGCGCCCCAACAAGGCCTCAAGGCATCATGTTTGAGCCTCTCGGGGTGGGGGGGCATGAATTCATTACCCCCCCTGTTTTTGATCCATGGGGCCCAAGACGGCCCCAAGCCTCCCAGACCCCCCAAAAGAGCCCCAAGAGGCCTCCCAGACCCCTTCTTGACGCGAAGCGTCAAGAATTTACGCTTGTGCCGCCGTCTCCTCCTCGAGAAGCGTCTGCCGGTGAGGCTCGACGTGGCCGTGCTCAGCCACGTGTTGATCGAGGACACGACGCTCCCGTACCGCACGGTCCAGACCGCCGACGAGCCCGAGGCGCCCAGCCCGCCCTCCATGCGTCCCCCCCGCGGATTCACCATCAGCGAGTCGTTGAACGGGAACACCCAATCCTGAGGACAGCACAACCCACCCCCATCCCCCGGCCAGGACCCCCCCCCGACCGAGTGATCCAGGGAAGGGGGGTCCTGGCTGGAGGTGAGGGTGGCTTTTATGTTTGGCCCCCAGGGCCCCCCCCCCCCTCGAAAAAAAAACACCCACCCGCAGCCAGGACCCCTCCCCTCACGGCATCCCGGGAACCGTGGCTCGCATGGCCGCGGGGGAAGGTGGTCTGCTGGCCCCCCGAGAATTTCAAGAAACCACCACCCCCCAGCAGCCATCGGGAGCGGTAAAAGAGGGGGGCGTCCAAGAGGGGGGGGTGCAAACCATGACCGGCGGCACGTGCGCGGCCCAGCGGGGGGGCCAGGGACGTAGTGAAACTAGAAGAGGCGCCATGAAATCTCGGGAAATATCCTGGCCGCCGCCATGAGATCCACCCCCCCCCAGTCATCACTCCCCTCTTTGCCGCCCCCGAGGCCTGGACCCCGCCCCCCCCTCCCGACCCGTTGATCCGGGGGGGGCCCTGGCTGGCGCGCGAGCGAGCGCGCGAGCGAGGGGTCTGCTGACCGCCCGGCGGGCCGGGCGCCCCGTCGACGGCGCGCGGAGGCGCGCCTGGGCAGACCGAAGGAAACAAACAGAGCGAAGACAGAACCCAGCGCTGAACGCCATCTCGGGGCAATCTGCCGACCCCTTGGGGTCTGCGGCGTGAGAAACTGCTGCCCTCCCCAAACCCCTCTCCGGGGGGGCCGTCCGGCCAGTTTCGATGGGGGTTGAGGAGTAATGAAACGAAGTGCGCCAGCCTGCGCAAGCGGTCCCAGCCGCCTCGGAGGTGGTCTTGGACGGCTTGCATGGCTTCGGTATGCCTCTCAAGGGCTCCTCGACGATCCCCGATGGCACCTGGTCGTCCGGACATGGCTTCAAGATAGCCCTCGGAGCCTCCAAGGGCTCCCAGAGGACCCCTCGCGAGCGCACCCACAAGGCAAAAGTAATACATTCCCAGTGGAACAATTTCATGTTCGGCAACCTCGCTCCGACGCCCTGACCAGCGACCCGACGCGGGCCACGAGGCCTCCAGGGCCCCACGACGGCTCCAGGCGGCCCTGGGGCGGCCCAAGATGAAGGGGCCCTGGGACACACAAATAAATACACACACGTAACAAGACCCCCCATATTTTTGCATATTTTCTTAGTTTTTGTCCCCCCCCACTTCCGATATTTTCCCGTATTTCCCTTGGAGTCGACGATAAATTGTGTCTGGGTGTGTTCCCTCCCCTCCTGACAGGAGACGCCCAAGCCAGCCCGAGAAGACTCCGAGACGGGCTCAAGGCCGCTCCACATGGCCCCGTGGCGGCGCGACACGGGCCCCACCCGGCCCGGGAAGGCCCCAGCACGCCCCGCGAGGCGCCGCGGACGGCCCGGGAGGGCCCCCACGAGGTGCCGCAGAGGCTCCAAGATGGCTCCTTGAGGACCTCTCGTAGGAGGAGGAGGAGGAGGAGGAGGAGGAGGAGGAGGAGGAGGAGGAGGAGGACTTTCCACAGGACTTTCCTAATCAGACGGTGTCTGGACGGATGGGGCTCCCAGGAGGACTTCATTTGAGTGGCCTCCCTTGAAACACGCGATACATAACCCAACTCCCCAGTTTAGAAAGAGGTGAGCAAACTTCCGAGAGTCTGAGGTGCCCCCACCCCTCCAAAGCCCGACAACCACACCTGATGCACATCCAGTATGGCTCGTAGAAGGCGAGCTCATGGGATGCATGGCCGCTCCTGGTCCCCAGGGCGAGCTGGGTGTGGCGCGGCTGATTGGATGGCGGGCCGCTCTCGGGAAATCCATTCGCTCATGGCTTGCTTACATGCTAATTTACTGACCGAGCTACGACAATCAAGACAACTCCAACGCGCCTGCATGTTACAGAGGGTGTGAGACGACTTAAGCTGGGCGGCCCTGATAGCGTCGGGCCGAAAACATTTCTCGATCCTCCGAACAATATTGGCCGAGGGCTCTCTGTTTTCATGCTCAAGCGCGTTTAAAGTAGCACGAACTATCCTACCACGGACTAAGGCGGAGACGGCGACAGCCCACTTATAGCAGGAGAGGCGAGCAGGTGGGATCTGATGTTGCTGGGCTCCTTTATCAGCAAGCTCATCCGCAGCCTCGTTACCGCACCAAGCATAGAACGGCACTCCTTCACGCATGCTTTCCTCGAGGCTGAGGGGGCTGTTCATCCAAAAGACCTCTACACGATTGTCACCTCTATATGTCAATGCTGCTCCTGTCTCAGTCCACAAGTCTCCCATCGTGCTCCAACTGTCTGGGCGTGTGTGTCTACCTTTCATCCAACCCTTGTAAAAGACTTCAGAATCTGTCCAATACTGCAATCTGCCACGGGCATTCAACACTGCTGAGATAAACGCCGAGAGTTCTGCGCGATTATTTGTTTGGCGGGGGCCTGCGAGCGGGGCGAACGCTGCCCCCCCTCACTCCCGGCAGGCCAGGGTCGGCCACGTCGAGCGCGACCCATCCCCATCCGCATCTGCGGCAGCGGGAGTCGTCAGACTCGTCGCCTCCGCTGCCGCCCCCGCAGGTTATGAGGGGCTGCCCGAGCGGGGCCTCAATCAGGGGCCCTGTCCAACTCCCCGAACCTCTCCTCCGTGCACTGCGTTTCGCACGGCGGCGGCGTTGTCCACAAGGTCGGCGGAAGCACACGTAACCAAAAGCACGGGGTGTGGGCGACCCCCGCCACCGCCATGGGCACCAGGTGCTCCGACTTGGCGAAGGCTGGGTGATTCACTCTGTCAGGGCACTGTCCCCATATCCCATGGAGGTCGTCTGCCCTGGCGCCGCAGCTGTAATTGCCCATGCCCGCGAGGTCGCCGTAGAGGTCGAACTTGCGTGCTGGCGTCCAGGCGCCCGCCGTCATGGCGGTGAGCAGGGCATTGGCCTCTGGCAGCCTGCCCTGCTTCCGCAGTCGGGCCAGGCGGCGGACCGCGTCGCTGGTGTCGACCCCGTTCTCCATGCCCTTGCCGTTGTAGTGGGCGGCCGCCTTCTGCCACAGGCCCCTCTCGATATCATCGATGATGGCGTCGATGATGGTGGAGGGGGCCCTTATCACCTGCATATTCTGCCATTTCCCAGTCATCACCTCGCTGGTCCGCCCATCGCGTAGCCGACTTGGGGTCCCAGCCAGCCCCCCACAAGGTCAGGATGATTGAACCCATAACTCCCCGTCGCTGTCGCCATCGATGCTGCTTGGGGGCGATCTTGAGTCTGGCATATATCTTACCCCAGGATCTGGCAACCAGCTTCCTCAAGACAGGCCTGTGTGCATATAGGTCGAACCATGCGCGGAGTTGAGCTCGAGGTATCTCCAGGGCAAGGTCCTTGCCGACCAGGCTGAGGAATGACGCAGTGCAACGTCCTGGCCTGGCCCTGGCGATGCCAGACATGTATCTCCTTCTGGCTTGTGTGGTAGCTGAAGGCGGTTCTCCATGTGCCTTCGCTCCATAAAATAACGCTGACATTGCACCTTGGCTGAGCATGTGAAATCTCGTCCCCCTCCCCAAGTTACGCAACTTGCGGCCTAAAGTGTCCATACGGCTGCATGTTTCTTTCGTCTTGCCATGTGTGTAGCCCGACGGGTAACACCGTTTGAAGATCTGCCGATGCCAAAATCACGAGCTTCTCCAGCTGGCGTAATATCCACTCCAGCTTCCTTCAAACGTGATGTGATTCGCTTGGTCATCTTCCAATCAGAACTGAAAAGAACACTCTTGTCTGTGAGCTCCAGGCCTTCTCGCTTCAGGCTGTGGGCTAGCTTCTTCGTCGTCGTGCACATGACGTCCTCGACCGCCGCGGGGCTGCCGTCGGCGGCGGTGCTGATGTCGTCGAACCAGGCCAGAGGCATCGCCCTAGGCTGAGCAGCCGTGACGGACTCTAGCACCTCGCACACCACTGCCCGCGCCAGGTTGTTGGCGGGGCGCGAGCCCGCCAGGAGGGACAGGTGTGCCTGGCATGCGAGCCCGCGGGCTCCTTGCTGTCTCACAATGCGTGGTGCACAATGAATATGCAGCTCGAGCGACAGGATCCTCTTGGGGAAGCTGATGTCCAGGCATGCTGCAGCAACAGACTCAGGCATGAGTGAATCGTAGAATCTGGCTATGTCGGCAAGACTGACTGCCGACGACATGGCCAATGCATGCGCTGCCTCGTCCTGCAGAGCTCTGGTCAAGGCCTCTCTCAAGCACGAGGACCCCCTCAGGGCTGAGTCCCAGTGTCTCGAGGCCGAAGCGACCCATTCCTCCACCTGCGGCCTCCTGAGCATCTGCCAGCAGCGAATGAGCCAAGCGATGAGGACCAGAGCCCTGTCGCCTGACTTCTCGGGCCCGAACATGATGATGGCCTGGAGCAGCTGGCGCGGCCAGATCTGCAGGGCCTCCACCGAATTTATCAAATCCGCGAACGCCTGACGAGCATGCATTGGCAGGCGGCACACATCGGATGCCACT